CCCAACATAGTGCCGCAAGTAATCCTCAAGAGTCCGATTACTCGGATCAGTCTGACCATCAGTCTGAGGATGAAATGCCGTTGATGTAGCCAATCTAGTGCCAATTAGATTGCACACCTCAGCCCAAAATTTGCCCGTGAATCTCGAATCCCTGTCCGAGACAAATTCTCGCTGCAGCCCGTGTAACCGGTACACATTGTCATAATACAACTGCGCAAAGCCCTTAGCTTTGCAAGTGGTTGTTGTGGCCGCGAAGTGAACCATCTTCGTAAGCCGATCAACAAAAACCACGATTGCATCATCCCCTCGCTTGGTCAAAGGAAGTTCGACGATAAAGCCGAAACTCACCGAATCCCAAGGCCTCTCAGGTATCCGTAGCGGTTGAAGCAGCCCCGCAGGCCTCAACTGTTGCGCCTTGTCGTACTGACACACGAAACAATTCCGCACATAGTCTTTTGTCTCCTCCCGTAGCTTTGGCCACCAGAAGAGTTGCTCAACTGTTCTCCGCGTTTTGCTCACGCCAAAGTGACCGCTGTACTTAGCGTCGTGCGCCTCCTGCCAAATAAGGCGTTTAACGATCACATCGTTAGGCACGTACACTTTGTCGTCACGCAAGAACAAACCGGTAGAGTTGACACCCAGTCGAGCGGAAGCTTGATTGTTTGCATCTCGCAACCAAGCATCCCCTGCGTAACCACGTCGAATCAGATTTTGAAGCAAGACAGGCAAATCAGACGGGCCACGACTTCCGGCAAACACAGTGGAAGTACCATCGCTTTCGGGCGGGCCCTCCCTAGGCGACTCCTTATTCCGGAGCTCCCTTTCGAAGAGTACGGCCGAGGCAACGCCGATAGGATTGCGACTCAATGATCGGCGACGTTAGTACGGCCAGGCCGGTAACGCCACTTAAAATTGAATCTCTGCAGGAACTCTGACAATCGGGCTTGCCGCCTCGATAAATTTGGCTGTGTTTGAAAGAAGGTATTCGGGCAGTAGTCCGTCACTACATCGAATTCATCCCCCTCAAGGTAACAGCGCCAAACCCTAAGAGCATCAACTACACCCAGTAGTTCTTGCTGCGTAGTAGTATAGTTAACTTCCGCAGCGCTCAGCTTTCTGGAATGGATAGCGACCGGCTGGCCCTCCTGAAGCAATACCGCTCCAATCCCGAGGGTTGAGGCGTCCGACACAACCTCATATCTCTTTGACTCAACCGGAGAGCGTAGCACCGGGGTATGTGTCAAAGCCCACTTGACACCCTCAAATGCATCCCCACACTCTTTAGTCCAACTCCAGGGTCTTCCCGACTTAGTTAGATCCGTCAACGGAGCAACACGTGTAGAATACCCTTGAATGAAACGCCGGAAGAAGTTTGCGAGACCAAGGAAAGATCGCACCTGATGTACATCCTTAGAAGGTTCCCAACGCTCCACGGCTGCGACCTTCTCAGGGTTCACCTTGATACCGCCGGCTCCAACGATATGTCCAAGGAACTTGATCTCCTGCTTAGCGAAATCACATTTTGGTAAGGCAACAAAGAACTTCTCCCTTCGCAAAATATCCAGAACAATCGAAGATGACGCTCATGCTCTTCTGCCGACTTACTATATATCATGATATCATTGAGGTACACAACCACGAAGTCATCAAGGTACGGACGGAATATATCGTTCATTACTGCTTGAAACGTTGCCGGCGCGTTTGTCAAGCCAAAGGTCAATACCTTAAACTGAAAATGTCCGAACGGCGTTCGAAAAGCAGTCTTCGGAATATCCTCATCCGTTATCCTGATTTGGTGATACCCTGCAGTCAATTCCAGACTGGTAAAGTAAGAAGCACCGGTGATCTTGTCCAACAAGTCATCGATCCTTGGCAACGGATAACGATTCTTTATCGTTACCGAGTTAAGAGCACGCAAGTCTAGGCACATCCGAAGTCCTCTGCCGTTAGGCTTTGGTACAATCAAGATAGGTGCCCCGTACGGACTTGTACTCGGCTCTATGAGACCCTTCTCAAGGAGCTTTGTGATTTGTTCCTTCGCCACGTGTTTCCATTGGGCTTAGCCGATACATCGGTCTAAATGGAGGCACGTGTCCAGGCTCAGTAGGGATGGACCCACATTCTGTCTCGGAGGGAGCTCTGCAGGTAACTCGTCACTGAAAACATCAACGTACTCAGTTAGAATGCTTTTCACGTGACAAGGGTCGTCATCAGAATCCGAGGGGACAATGTCGGGCTTCACTTGCTGAACCACAGCAAGAAAAGCTTTATTCCCTCTCTTGATTAGCTTTTTAACCTGCATTGCACCGAGTAACTTCTCAGACGGTGCCACATTTGGCATATCTCTTGCAAGAGGCTTCTGAGAAACGGTGATCCTCCGATTCCCCTTTCTCATACGGCACACTTGTTTGTGGTAATCAAGGACAACCTTATGAGACGTCATAAAAGCCTCGTCACATCCACATCAGCCAAGAGCTCGTTCATCACAAGACAGTGGCACTCGACAGGTTTTTGGAAAGCTCCAAGCTTGACAAACACTCTCGCAGTCCCAGCCATACCAGCAGGATGATTGTCTCTTAAGACTACATCACCGCGCAAAGAGTCATCAACAGAGATCCTCTGTAAAGCAACAAACGATTTGGATAGGTAGTTGTGACTCGCCCCTGAATCAAACAACACGTTTGCATCGGCACCACCCGCCTTTGCTCCAAACAACATCGTCAGCCTTTTCGAGGTTCCTCGACTCTTAGAAGCTTGCAACACCCCAGCTACAGCTTCTGGTAACGCTACGGCCTCGGAATCGTCCGGGCGCATCAATTCAAATCTGGCCCGTTTTGGGTCAATATTTGACTGCTCGCGCTGAGCCGCACGCGCGCCGCGCTCGCTCGACTCAGGCCCGTCGAGGACGCCCGGCGCATAGATTCCAACATCAGCCTCGACTTGGCCAATATTTGAAACCGTGCGCGAGCTAGGAGAAGGGGCATAATACAACACTTGCATCATGCGAACAGACCGTTGTTCAGAGAACCCGTCTCCGGAGCCGTTTCCAACACGAATCACGCTCCCTTAGGCAAATTAAGAACCACTTTCCAGCCTTTGAGAAGACGACGATCGACCGCATGTAAGTGAGGCAACAGCACACACGCTGAAGTCTCGGTCGGTGCATTCCTTCGACACTCCATGAAGTGTTCGAGATACATTCTCAAGCGATCTTCACGACCATTGATCCAACAATGTTTACCCGAAACATCGCGCTTGAGAAAAGAATCATGTGAGCTCCAGCAGCATGAGATCCGCCCGCAACGGCGACTCCGGCAGAAAACGTCTTGCCAGTCAAACTTTCCACAAGCTCAAAATCCGTTGGTACAAGATCGTTCAAGCTTACTTGTTCTGTGGTGCCATCGTCAATTTGCCGCTCACTAACAAATTGACTAGCTAGTTTACCGGACCCTGGCTAGACTTCTTGGGGCACCCTGCCGCCTTGTGGTTCTTTTCCCCGCAATACAGGCACAGGCCCTCCTTGAAACGCCTATCGCGCTCGGCCCTGCTAATCTTGCCATGCTCGCCGGGACCCCCACCGCTCTGTCCGCCGCCACCGGTCTTGGCCTTCTTGCCGTTGCCTGCCCCATTGCCGCTCCCGCTGCCCTGCGACCCAGACGGCCCATCGGGCCCCTTGCGCTTGAAGAACTTGTTCTTCTTGTTAGCTCCCTGCCCAAAAGTGCGAGGCACACCCGAGTCAAAAGTAGGCGTTGCCGGAGAGATGCGCTGCTTGACATTCCACACGTTCGACGCGAGATTCACAAGCTCAGAGAGCTTGCTTCAGCGCGAACCGTTGGACATCGAAGCGCACTTCTCGGCAAGAGAGTGATGCAATCCATCCTTGAATCGCTCAATCTAAACATTCTCGGAGGGAGCCCCGTTTCCCATCTCAAAGATGATCGCCCGAAACTTCTGTGCATAGTCCTGAACGGACCGATTGCCCTGCTTGAGAGACTTGAGCTTAGCCCATCCATCCTGAACGGGGTCCAAGCCGCCAAAGCCATTGATCATGATCTCCTCGAACACATCGAGAGTGATCTCCTTGCCTAGCACCTCCAAACCGGATTTGCAAGCATTCCAATGAGTGCGCGCCGCGCCTCGAAGGTAAGTGGCAAGATTGTTGACAACTTGAAGTTGCGTTTTGCCCGCACCCAGCGAGGCTTTTGGCTTGGTCCTCCATGGACGCCCACCAAATTACGCACATCAAGTTCATCCTCCTTGCCAGGGGATCCACTGAAAATATCAAGCTTTCGGGGCTTCAGCCCATCATGATCCTTAGGGAAAGAGATATATTTTGCCTTAGCAAGCTCTTCCTCAAGATGAGAAATGCGACCCTGCATGTTACCAACCAATGCAACACGCCACTCCTTGCTGACATCCCCCTCAGGCATCTTAAGCACATAATCAGAATCACCAGAGCCACCAATGCGCATGCCCTTCAATGCACCCGGCAATGCACCCGCAAGATGCTCAGCAGTGATTTTACCAAAAGCCACCGGAGGAGGCCTAGCCACAAAGGCATTTTGCCCATGGCTCCATTCCACGCCAGATGCCACAGCGCCCACGCTTGGCGTCTCGGATGGCGCTCCATCAACAGCCATGTTCTCTCCGGAACCCTCTGCGGCCTTGCTCGCTTCAGCCATAGTGAACCCTCACAAGGAGAAACGTTCCCCTCTGATACCACTGAAACGTATCCTCCTTAAGGACCGTTATATTCCACTAGCACCCTCGGCGCTAGCGCCCATGAACAAGATGATAAACTCCCGAAGGAAGGTCGTGTCTAAGTCTAAGCGCCCTTGCTAGAGAGAACCCTTCCACATCCTCCTTCTCGGAATGTTTGGAATGCTCCCTCCTAGTCGGTACGGCCCCAGGACACGATTGAGGTGTTTGAGACTAGGTAGGGCTGGCTTGGGGGCGACACACGCCGCCACACGCCGTGATCCAATCACAATAGGGATAAGGCTATCTTGGATGTGACAACTCCGGCCGTCGATCAACAGATCGAACGGCTAGTAATCGTTAGCCATTCCTCAGCCTAGTACCCTTGGTAGACCCCTACCTGACCTTCAATGTGACTTACACTGAGCGAGCGAGCGTGCGCGCAAGGATTCAATGATTGGCTCCCCGGGAGCCAGAATTGAATGCTCGCGCCGGCCAGTTTATGACCACATAAGCCGACCGTCGGAGCTCATACGATACTCAGAAGAGTCCGTAAGAAGCCCAAGACGTTACATACATGTTACTTGAAGAGGATACTTGGCCACAGATGTCCGGCCCAGTGCTAGCAGTGGTTCATCTCCTCAAGAGCAATTCCGCACATTCTTGACAGTCCGATCCAGAGCTACCGTATCAACTTGAGGTATCTTCGGAACCACGCCAAGGGCTTCGGCTTCCTCACTCCGGACGAATGGAGTATCACGCTGCACCAAATCAGAAGGATTATTCAAGAGCGCGGCATGAGCGTTTGCGGCATCTGATCAGCAAGAGAGCAAGAAGGATGGTCAATCTCGAATTTGAGCAACTTACGGGACAGCTTCCGTGGACGTCTCTGAGCTTATCCTACTTAAGCACTGCATCGGCGCGCCAGCGGCGTACTGGATATGGGATTTGAAGCATTACGACCAAAATCGCGAAAAGGCGACAGGTGCCGGAAGAGTTGATTACGTCAGTACCACTCTAAATCAAATACCCTCAAGCACAGAGACTCGGATGTCAGTTTAAAACCTCCTTTCTGGTATGTTTTCGTGGTTACCGATCGTCCGCACTTGTGTTGTCCTGAAACACACTTCTGAGACACCTAGTGTCAAGCTGGCCTGCTGCAGCTAGGTAGGATGCGACCAGAGGCATGTGAGAACACTTACCGGCAGCTGACGTGGCTCGCCTGCGCTACCGTCTTAAGGAATTCTGCCGCAACCTTGGGCAATCTCGTCGCTTTCACGTGGAAAACGGTGGAAATGATGCCCTTTGGTACGCTCAGCTCCGAATGGCAAAGCCGAGTATTGGTCCACTGCTTGAGATTGCGATTCACAAACGGCACAGAAAATGTGACGTGCTCGGCTCCATCTGCCATTTCCCACGCTTCAGGCTGTGCCTTTCCAGGACGACTCTGGGCCCCCAGACGGCAATCTAAAGTGGCATTCTTTGCTCCCACCATCCTCGGTGTTACTATTCCACGAGCCAATCGATGAATGTGAAACATCTCTGCAGTGGTGATCTGAACAGCAGGATCCGCCCTCACAACTTTCACACTCGCCGTGGCAAGTTTCAGAACCCGAAACTGGCAGGACTTTTCAAATCTGACGCCCAGGGGCCTCGTATAGGAAAAATGTTTTAGAAAAGGGCAATCTATTGTGACCTGTGCGCCCTTGGGAGGAAGCAGCCCTCCATTATTAATTGGACGAACGACCACTGCTAAGTCTCTCAAAGGATTCTCGGACTTGATCAGAAAGGAGATGGTGATGATTGAACTGCTGCTCGCCAGCAGCTTGGCAGACTTGATCTTTGGGAAATATTCCAGAAGCGGGATGCTCACAACCTGAGGCTGCCACTGGACGTCAAGTTGAACATTGAGAAAAAGGCCCAGCACTTCAACTTTGCAGCGCTTACTTGATGGATAGGACGACACGTCAGAGCAACTGCGTAAGTTGAACAGAGTGTGCACCCCAATTTCCAAACTTTCTAGGTTCTCCCAGGAAGCCAGTGAGGCGGAGATGGTCTGGAGCTCCCACTTGGTCAGCGTCACGAGATCAAGCGTCAAATACCTTAAGTTGACTGGTGCCCCCTCTGCAAGGGACTTCAGCATAGCGGAGTGTAAGTTTCCATCGAGTGAAAGCTTCAGGCTGCGGAGGTTTTGAAAGTCACCAACAAACCGTGCCAGATGATAAACTTGCCTGCTGAGCAAACTGCTGACGTCAAGGTAAGGAGGGTATCTTCGCAAGGTCAGCTTTGTGATTGATTCCTTGATTGCGCTCCTCCAGCCTTTTGAAACCCGAGCTGCATTTCCGAGTGTCTTCAGACTCCCAAAACCCGCTCTTTCAAAGATGTCGCCCATAATCTCGGGCGGCAAGACCTCCGTAAAGTCAACCTTCTCTGCAGCCTCAAAGCTGCTCGACGCACTCACACCTCCCGTCAGCTTTCTGGGCCGCTGCTTCGGTCTCGGCGCCATTCTTCGGCCGCTTAACTTGTTTGCAGGTAGAGGTTTCACCTTTCAGCTTGCGCAAGAGTCCTTTCACGTCTTCAAAGTTGAACAATATTGCGCCCCACGTTTCTTTTTGGCACGAAAGCAACTTGCTGTATGTGGATGTGGCAAATGCCAAGAGCTCCTCTGATTGAACTTTGATACACTGCCGCAACATGCTTTGATAGAAGTGTTTTGATAGGAGAGACGGGAAGACACTAGCTCCTCGATGGCAGTGCCCTGGAGTCGCGCATGCAGCAGTAATCTGATATAAAGCTGCCGCCGGCTTGAATAATGGTACACCAGTGGTTGACCGTCCGGTGCAGTCAAAGTTGGCCTTTCGGGAATTTGCGATCTGAGTCGGCTGCCAGTCAACAGGCCTCCGCTTGGAGACGAGACATACGCAGCCGTCCTTTGGTTGGAATCTTCGAGGTAGTAAGCCTGTATTAAGTTGGAGCGAAGTGGAGGGTTCAGGCTCGTTCTACTCGTTAGAGTCCCTGCATGCAGCATCGTCATCGTCTGACCACGTGGATGCAAATCGGGTCGATGACAATCAAGGTCTTGGAGGCCTCGAGCTGTCGAACGGGGTACATTTCCTCTGAAGAAAGTCGATGCGGCGCAGATCAGCAGATGCTTCATTCCGCAGAGCAGCATCTTTGGAAAGCTTCTGTCAAAGCGCCGTGGAGGACCAGTTCGCGCGGCTCCCTTCCGAAATCGTCGCGCTCATCCTGGACAGACTTAAGAAAGACCGGTCCGCATACTACAGAGGGATCGCGCGGCCCGTATCCAACGAGCGTTTCAAGCACTTCAGAGCCACCGCCACCAAAGTGACCCTCCAAAACCCAGACGACTGCCCTGGCAAGTCGGATGGGACTTTTGCATTTTTCGCAAACTACAGCAGCCTGCGGGAGCTGAGCATCAGCTGCCCCTGCTTCGGAATCACCTTGCGCGCGGGTCTGGGCCGCGAGGATTGGCACCGCCTCAGCTTTTTCTAGTATGATATCTGGCAAGAGGACATCGCTCTCAGCGACGGCTCGTTTTTACCCAGCGCGCGCGGGCGTTCCCTAAAGCTGCTGGAGTTTGAGGTGGGCATGAGCACCGTGGAACATGAAGCTGCTGTCGGTGTTTGGCAGGACATTGAGTCTTCTTCGAGAATGCTAGACCATTCTGTAATCGAGCTCAAAGTGAAACATGTCCCTATGTACTCCATAGACAACATAGCGGGAGCTGACACGGTCCGCAAGCTGAGTCTCAGTCTCGAAATGGAAGACGAAATGTTCTCGCTGGCCGCGCCCTACGTTTTCCCCAATCTCAGAGAACTCGTTATCGGAAAGCAGGAGTCTATCTCTCCGATGGATGGCGCCGACTCGGGTCTCTGGCAGGTTCTTGACGGATTGTCTTACGACGCCAAGCAGCATGGCCGGAATGATTCATCTGGGCGATCTGCGGACGGTGATTTCGACAGAATTAATGGAATGCCTATGCAGCCTGAACCTGCTGCGGATCCTATATATGGAGATCAAAGAGTGCGATCGTTTGAGCCACGCTGCAATGGCGTCTCTGGTCAATCTCGTCCAAAAGGAGAGTTTAGAGGTCCTCACTTTAGTCGGTTTAAGCTCAGCGCAGGGAAATCTGCTGATGCAGGTAAAGAAGAAGAGTCTGTGCTTCAGTCCGTGGTTATAGGGTGCGTCGGACGAAGATTGCAGGACAACGTGTGGAGTCAAGAAGTCGTTTCGGTGTCTCAGGAATCTGGCGCATGCTTTCAACAGGTACTTCGAGTATAACATAGGAGATTTTACTAACATAAGTTAGAAGGGTTAGCACACTTTTCAATTTCCGGTCGAACGAGCATACGTACGTACGTCGGCCAGCCGTTACCTACAAATGAGATTGTACATAGAATCTCATGCTATATATGGAGCTTGAAGATCGATAGCGCAGTACTGATTGGGAACCGCAAATTACTCAATGAACCATGTACGCCATCATCTATAAGCGAAATAAAATTGACAGCTCGATAGCAATCACGATGCATAAACACTTCGTATTACCACTCAGCATCTAGAAACATAAACATTGTCATTACACCGTCTTATGACGGCAATTAGATGTGCTAGATTCAACAACTTGCCCTTTGTAAGACTGCATGGTAATGGCTTCGCAATTTGAGTCAAAATGCACCACTGAGCTTTGATGATATAGCACACCGACTTATGCAAGGTCGTTTTCTAAGAAAGTCTGTAGTCTTTCGAATTGTTCAATAATCTGAGCGCTGTGGGGCCTCAACCTCTGATCTCTTTTTTGTGCCCTCTTTATAAGGTCTATGACTGCTTCCCAGTCATCACTCTCTGACAACCTGTCCCCGAATGTACAGTGATCCTTCTTGTTGACGTATAATTGCAGCCCAAGAATCTCCTCGAGCAGACAACCTACTGAGAACATGTCAGTCGCTATTGAAAATGTGGACCCATCGCCAAACTCTACCGGAGCGAACGGGTTGGACCGGAGAAACTCGTTCCGATATTTCATCATCCTAAAACACAGGTGGCGTCTTTTATCGACAAGTCGAGTGGCCTTTCGAAAGTCGTTCACCGCTATGGTTACCACCTGACTCGACTCATCGAAGTTGACGAGGAGATTCTTAGGATTCAAAGCGTTGTGCACAAAGCCTAGTGTGTGGATGTGCTCGATCCCCTTCAGAAGGCCCAAACAAGCCCTCACCAACAACCAATACCTACTAAGAGGTTCATACAAAGCCCCTGACAATACTTTCAACTGCCGGTTTTGCAGCACTCACTCCAGCGAGCCCTGGTTGTAGTAATGAAAGAAGGCTAGAAGAGACCGAGGACCACTTAGAGAGACCGCGAATGGCCGGACGATGTTCTCGTGTTGGAAAGTCGACGCAACAAGGACCTCAGCGGCAGAGATCTCTAGCTTAGACACCTGATCGTCATTCTCTTTGACGGCAACATCAGCCCCCAGCCATTCTGGGAAAATACGAGCCCATGACGTCCCTGCGGAGACGCGCACGCGGCAAACAACCGCCCAGGATCCCTTCCACACAACGTCGCAGCCTGAGCCAGTCGATAGCAGCAAACTTGCGCGCTCCTCGGCAGACAGCACACGCAACTGCATGAACATGAAAAGAATATCAAATTGATTGCATAGAGGCACCAGTGCGCGCAACATCCACTTTCTATTCTGTTGATGCTCCATTTGCTGTGCTAAAGCATCTCTTGCTGAAGCAGCATTCCAGACACTTGACAAATAGAAATTGCGGCAACCTCAAGCCGACAACGCATATTTTAGCAAGATGACATGGAGGGGAATTGATGTGACCCATCGCCAAAAGCATACTAAAACAGATTTTGAAACTTATAGCCTGATGGTGGTTGACTGCGCGACTGCCCCCCACAGTGTCTCCTTCACCGCTGTCTTCTTTGCTGCAATCGCCTCCTCCCCAACCTCCCGGAGCCCCGCTCGAGTCCCCGGCATCAGACCCCGCTTCAGACCAGCTCCCACTCCCGCTCCCACTCCTGCTCCACTCCCCTGAGCCTTCCTCGGCCATTATTGACGCACCCTGTCCGGACGTTTCCGCTTGCACTACCCCCACCTTCTCCAATAATCTGTACGCACATAATAACATTCAAAAGTCGGCAACAAGCAAGGAATATGCAGGCCTTTATGTGTAAGAACAGATAATATAGCCAGGATAGACATTGCAGTCACGTGAGCCCCACCTCAAAAGATGTCAGCTAAGACCACGTGCCCGCACAGTCTACTTAAAACCACAAGCTGCACTACTTTATAAGGGGGATTGGTTACCTGCACTCTAAGGACTTGGCGAATGGGTGTGCGGGTGCGGGTGCGTTCTTTGAAGCCAAGCGGGCTTGTGCCTTATGTTTTCGTCGGACCTCCATCATTTCCGGGCACAATGAGTCATCGCTGTCAGCCGCATTTTCTAACGAAGTCGCCGATCTAGCTCCGTGGCCACCAACATTCAGCTGGGTTGTAAGGATTTTTACCCGCTGCGCATAGCTCGCCTTCGATGTGAACTCCTTCTTCACTTTCTGAAACATGCCTTGAACTCTACCCTCGGTAAGCTTCAGACCGGGAAATCGATCAACCATAGAGGGGAAGAAATCTTTTTCCTGCTTGTAGTATCTGACAAAATGTGCTTTCCAGTCTCCGTAGGGCATCCTCAGCTTCACGGCCGCTGCACGGAGATATACTTGAAGCATGTCCAGAACAACATGGGCCTCAACTTCAATGCTATCGACAAAATTAGTTCCTACCCTCCGCAGAATGGGTTCGTTAAACACCCATGTGATGGACTTGCCTACCCTAAATTGACTTCTCACGCCAATGGTTCCTGGAGGAGTGCGAACAGTGAAAAACTCTTGAGTGCTCTCCTCACTCAGCCGCATCGCTTCACTGAGGGTGCGCTCAGCCATGACCAACTCAACTGCCTGAAGCCCCAACCAAAACAACTTCTAAAAAGGGCAATCAGACTCAGGATGACCATGCAGAGCGAACAAGAAGCAGTTTTAGCTGTTTGGCTCTTGGCAACTGAGCAGAACTGTCGAAAGACTTGGACATAGGAGGCGTGCAACAAGGAAGGCGCCAATTGCTGCCACTGCCAGTGTGCGCTACCAGCATGGTGCTGTACTGCCTCAGGCTACTAGGTAGTACTACCTATTGTAGGTACCGTACTGTAGCTGTGTACCCGTACGGTATTTCTACGTTGACCCTAGGGCCTATTTAGCTAGGTAGGTACCTAGGTATACCGTATTGCGGGTACCGGGTACCGTAGAACCGTACCCAGGTACATACCTAGTGAATACCGTGTACCGTTACGTAACATGCCAGCGCACTCACTACGGCTGCTGTTCCTGGGGCTGCTGCTGCTGCCGCCGCCGCCGCTGCTGCTGCTGCTGCTCCACCGCCACCAGTAGCACCAAATTTTGCCAATCGTACAGGTCCTCAGTTTGAGGCGTACTGGCAGGCTCTTGGCACTGATGCTGAGAGGATTGCGGCAGAAACACTGGCTCTGACGTTTCAAAATGCTCCAGTGACTCTGATTGTGTTGACTCATCAGAACGAGCGCAATGCTAACCGTATTGTACGTCTGAACAACGCGTTGGGCCAAGCCCAGAATCAGATTGCTGCTCCGAACGCTAACGCGGTAGCCAGGGCCTCTGCTCCCTCGAAGTTCGAGAACAAGGAGAGTGGTCTTGACATTCGTCAGTGGTTGCCTATAATTGAGGAGTATCTCGTTGCTACTCCCAATGCAGAGTATCTGCGAATTGCGTCTTCCTACCTTAAGGGTAAGCCGAGGTCCTTTTGGATGGCGACGTGGGAGGCATGGCAGGCAGCCAACTCTGGAGCATATCCTGGAAGTGCTGACTCTGGTCCGTTTGTTGGAACAGCTCGGGGTTGGCGGCCCTCCTGCTGGCGAGCGCATCTCAGGAGCTCGCGTTCTCGCACCTGGAGAGCCCTACGATGGTCGCTCTGCTGGCGAACGGCGTCTTGACAACCTCAGCACTTCCGTTCATCCATCTGGCGTCCATCTCGGCGGCCCTCCTGCTGGCGAGCGCATCTCAGGAGCTCGCGTTCTCGCTCCTGGAGAGCCCTACGATGGTCGCTCTGCTGGCGAACGGCGTCCCGACTACCTCGTGACTTCCGTTCACCCATCTGGCGCTCATCTCGGCGGCCCTCCTGCTGGCGAGCGCATGTCGGGAGCTCGCGTTCTCGCTCCCGGAGAGCCCTACGATGGTCGCTCTGCTGGCGAACGGCGTCCCTACAACCTCGGCACTTCCGTTCATCCATCTGGCGTCCATCTCGGCGGCCCTCCCGCTGGCGAGCGCATCTCAGAAGCTCGCGTTCTCGCTCCTGGTGTAACGGCACGACTGCGCACCGACTCCCGGCTGCGCGCTGAACTCGCGGCCGCGCATCGTCCGTTATTATACGCTATCGACTTATTGAATCACTACACGCCACGTGTCCAGGTTACTGCTTCACCGCGTGACCGTCCGATAAGACCCACGTGCACCGCGCGCCTGGGAACCGTCCGATAAGCTTTTTAGACTAAGCTTATGGCCGGCCGGCGAAAGAGGGGGTGACGCCACGAAGGAAGGAGGGGCGTCCGTTCTGTGACCAAATGCGTCCAACTGAAAGATCTGCAGCCCTGGTGAGTCCTCTGCGGTTCGGCTGTACTCATAGATCGTGTTGTTACGAAAGAATGAAGTGGAAAGGTTGTTCGTCGACTGGAAGATGGTGTTTCCGATATTTGTGTTCTGCGCCACTGCCCCCCAGAGCTCTCCTTGGACCCCCGTTAACGACGACCACGAAGCGTCCTTTCCCTTGAGTTCGTATGCCAGCTGCTCTGCCAGGGTCGAGATCTGCGACTTGGAGCCGTTTAAAAAGTTTTCGATGTTGTCTTCGATCCGCTGGACGGTAGCGTCCTGTAGGTGGTTTGCAATAGGGGCCTGTGCGGCAATACTGGGCGATGAGATGGCATAGTATACAAGTAGGGTCGTGTACCCCAGCATGATTGCACCGGCCCCGCTGCCGAGGACCCAGTCGTTGCAGCGAATCATTTCACTACAGTACACTCTTCATTTTATCTGTCTTTTGCCCCTGCTACCGTTTGCAAACATCCACCGCGTACCACCCAGACCTAATCAGGGAGGGGTGATGAAATATGCTCCCAATACACATCATGACTCCTCGTGTGCACGTGGTTGAGGCACACTGCAGTTCCGACCTGCTCTTTGACCCCCTGCTCGAGTTCCCTGTCGTGTGCGGCAATGACAAAGACCTTGACCCCCTTGACACCCCCCTCCCTTCGATGAGTTCAGGCCCCACCTCAACCCAAAGGTCATGGTGTTCGAATTCACGCCCAGTGGTGAGACTGTCTGCTGGGATGCAAAATTCCTGCTGATCAGGATGGAGACCCGGAGGATCTCCGAAGGCGTTGACTTCTTCCGCCACCCAATCCACAACTGCAAGGTGGACGATCTCAGTGCCGAACTCGTGCATCTTGTGGCCGAGAGGTCCGGCAAGGAGCAAAAGGTGGCCATGCGCAAGATGCTCAAGCATGTATTGAAAGCAGCAGCTGCGAACGTCGCCTTCTTCATTGGAGCCTCAAGCTATGTGGTCTGGCGGCACGACTTCATCCAAGCTCTTGAAAATTTGGGAGGTGGCCCCGATAGCGCTTATTTTGGTGGCCTCGGAGTCGGTATGAGCATCGGTGTGGTTGCCCTTGCCGCCGCACAGAGTTACGGGCCTCCAGTGCGGGGGTCTGCTGAAGAGTATGGAGACGCGAGACGTGCAGCAAACAGAGCCACAGACCTTATAAGCCAGATCCTCTGGAGCGATGCTGCGTCGGGGAAGCGTGCTACGTACAGGACCTTTAGAGGCAGAGGCACTTTGCGTTCTGCATGAAGAGCATACAATTCTGGGGCAGGCCGTGACTTAGGGACTTGAGAATTGGAAGAGCGGGCACATCATGGGGAACACCGAGTGGGGAGTCCTTGTCCGGTCCTACGAGGACGCGCTTCGGTGGCTCCAGATTGCCCGGGAGCACAACGAGTGCGAAGATCCGGAGAGTGTCGGCGAGGAGCTGTACACGGTGGGCATCCTCAAGTACAAGACGGCGTCAAAAGCTGCGCGCCCGAAGGTCCCGACCGGTCTGTACCTGTTGTTCTTCAACATGGGTGGAAGATGCATTACGTGGCAATTTCTAGCGCGTCGTAGGAAGCGGTCGGACGTCATTCTGGGACTAGACAATAAGCCGAAGAACTGGATGGATTGCAAAGAGTTCGCTTGGAGGCCAGAGGACTCTAAGGAAATCCCTAGAGATATATTCGAGTAGGAAAACCATTAGCCTGCACTTGTAGATATAAGGTCGGTGATATTCATCGAAGGTGCAACGAGGTTTGCCTGCCGGTCGAGTTTAAGCTGCTTCTTCCGCAGGTTAGCAGTCTTGCGGTCAAGTAGCTTCTGTGCAAGATCACCGATTCCAAAACGGTCGTTGCTCTGCTGCATGTCACGAGCGAGTCGTTGAAGTCTCTCAATCACCTGGGAGGTTGGCATGTTTTGCAGCTCATGCTTATGATCAGCGAGATACTTTTGGAAGATCATCTCTGTGCTGGCACGAGTCACTTGCCCATGAAAGTCCAGGAAGTCTGGTATGGACATGTAATTCGGTATATCACGGTCCTTCTTGAACCTACCACTTGTGCATTGGAAGTTGAGCACGACCTGATTGACCAGGTTGTTTACAATTGCATACAATTGGGGACTATTTTGCCCCACGCAACCTTGCAGTACATCCTGCAAGGCATGGTTCTTGAGCTTGTGCAATTCGATGCCATCAACACGCTTCTGACTCCACTGATCTACCTCTGGAGTCTCGGGTGTTGCTGGGGCCACCACCTAGTACCCCCCTGTCTTTCTTATAGTAGGAAGGACTTCATCCACAATCCAGTCTTGGAATGCGTCTGCCATCTCGAGTTTCGATCGGAGTGTAAGTTGACAAAGCCCCGATTCATTACAGTAACGGGCACGCAAGTCGTTACCATTAGGTTGTAAGGCGGTGCCCAGATCGGGGTCCAGTTGTACAAGGGCTTCAAGGGTCTTTATTCTGTGAGGCTTTACGTGGGTTGTGACAGCTTTCTTGAAATTTACATAACCAAGGAGGGTAGCAGCCTCGTTCGCATGGAACCATGGTTGCTTATCCTCCCCTACCAAGACGAGTGGTACTGAACGGCCATTTGCTTGAATGCATTGCTTTGCAAGATCGATACTGAACATGCCTTTTGAAAGAGGTGCCCATTATAAATCGTGCAATCTAAACGCACCAGTGTCAATAGGCATGACTTAGGAAGAAAGCCTTTTGCAAAGTTTGCCAAGCATGGAACTAGGCAGATGCGGCTACCGGCTGTCAAGCGAGCAGGTTGCTGCCCTCAGCACTTCCACGCTTGCGGATCTCCGAGCTCGCTGCACGGCGACCGCAATCGAGGACGGCTTCACCAAGGTCCCGGTGTCCGTCTGCTGCCTCGAAGAACACAATGATGGCAGCGTCACGTTCCCACCACATGTCCCCTTAGAGGGGCTCAACTTGCCCGCGCCCTTTGACAACCGGAGTGCACCCCGTGTCCTGGACGATTTCCCAGCTTTTAAGGGCGAACTGGACGAGTCTCGCAAGCAGATCAGTGCCTGTAATACCACCCTTAATGCCTTGCGGGAGCGCGGGGCCGGGATACTTTCTCTGTGTACTGGCTGGGGTAAGACGCTATGTGCTATAAGCGTCGCGTGCACCCTCCGGGTCAAGACCCTGATTGTCGTGCACAAAGAGGTGCTCCTGACCCAGTGGGAGGAGCGCATTGGGACCTTCGCCCCCGGAGCGCGCGTCGGCCGGATACAGGGGGCAAACATTGTCACGGAGGGCTGCCACTTTGTGATAGGAATGCTGCAGTTGCTGAGCATGAGGAGCTACGACCGGGCCATTTTTGACGACTTTGACCTCGTGATCTTTGACGAATGCCACCACGTGGCCGCAAAGGTGTTCTCGAGAGCCCTCAGCTACCTCTGCACGCCCTACTCTCTGGGGCTCAGCGCCTTTGTCGCCAGACGGGACGGGCTGACGGACGTCATCAACTGGTACCTCGGAGAGGTCTGCTTCTTGGTCGAGAGAAAGGAAGAGAGTGGCGTCTCCGTGGAGGCGGTTCGTTACGACCAAGTTGTCTACAAGGAAAAGCCCCCCCTCTTCAAAAACGGGCAGCTGGCAATCTGCAAGATGATCGACATTCTCTGCAACGATCCCCCGAGGAACAGCCTCATATTAGGCAAGGTGCGGAAGCTGGCAGCACAGGGGCGCTGCATCCTGGTGCTATCCGACCGAAGGAGCCACTGCATCTCCTTGCAGGGGGCTCTCAAAGAAGGGGGGCTCGAGGCCGGCCTCTTCCTGGGCGGGACGAATAGGGAGACCTTCAACGGTGTTGCAGAAGGCTGCCAGGTCATCGTAGGGACGTACGCGATCGCTTCAGAGGGCCTGGACATACCCCGCCTGAACTCGCTCGTGATGGCGACCCCCAAGAGCGACATCCGGCAGACCGTAGGAAGGATCACCAGAGGCAGTAAAGGTTGCCACTCCCCTCTGATCGTCGACATAGTAGACAAGTGGGGACCGTTGATCGCCCAGTCCAGAAAGCGAGACGCCTTCTATAGGTCCTCAGGTTTCGTAACTTCGTGGGTCCGGCCTTAATGGAGGGCGTTCGTCACTTTTCGCTTCAGGTTCTTAGGCAGTCCGTTCAAATCCTTGCGTGTAAGGCCGAGCATGGAGAACTATGGTGGTAAAGCTTCTTTCACACTTGGCAATTGGTAACCTACATTCTCCCAGTGATAACCAATCGCACTACATCATTTGTACCAACGTCGTGCGAGAGCATCATGAGCTTTTTGGCACATTCCTCAATATGATTGTCGACTTCATCCATCGCGCTTCTGTTTTCCATGCTCTCCTCTCTCAACTGGTCGAAGCTTTCTATAAATCGTTGCGGTCGCCACATACGATTATCGTGGTAACTAGCAATTGCGTCGAGCTGCTGTGCACTCAGAAAGAAGTACGTCCGCTGCAAGAATACCCCCGATCCTCTCCGTGCTCTGATATGTTACATATTCGCCACTCTCTTTGAAGAAGAAAGATTTCTACTGGGTCTACTGTTATCATTTCCTTACACAAAAGTAGGCTATATACATATTCGCCACTCTCTTTGGAGAAGAAAGATTTCTACTGGGTCTACTGTTATAATTGTTTTACACAAAAGTAGGCTATATACATATTCGCTACTTTTTTTGGAGAAGAAAGATATCTATTGGGTCTACTGTTATAATTTCCTCACACTAAAGAAGGCTATATACATATTCGCTACTTTCTTTGGAGGAAAAGGATTTCTACTAGGTCTACTGTTATAAATATTTCACACGAACTGTGTGGGAAAATTATAACAATAGAGTAGTACAAAGTTTCCGGATGGCAGCCCGGTTGGAGAAAATGTATGTACATGCGGTCTCGGCTATTTCGGAAAGCCGCAGAGGGCGGACCACCCTCCGCGGCCTCGGCTCAAGTGGAGGAACTCGAGTCCCTAAGTGTGCACTCGCGTACCGGGAGACGTGTGAGTAAATTATAACAGTAGAGTAGTACAAAGTTTCCTGATGGTAGCTTGGTTAAGAAAATGTATGTACGTTAGGTCTCCCCTATTTCGGAAAGCCACAGAGGGGCGGAGGACCGCCCTCCACGGCCCCTCGAACCCAAATATACACAAGTTCCTAAGTGATGCTTTGTCTCCAATGCTGTGTGGCATATGAAAGGGCTGCCATTGGAATCCTTGGCTTGCTTGTAATCAGAAGAGTCTCCACTGCTGCTCGAACCTCCTCCTCCTTTCTACCATACCTGCCCAGCTCCTCTTTTAAAAGTTGTACCTTTTTTGACAGGTGCGCTGCAGCCCTCAACCGCTTCTTCTCCGCTCTACCCCCCATCACTGCTGCCATACCGCGTGGTCCCCTTGCAAGCAAGGCAAGTAGGAAAATCTGAGACATACCAAGTGGGAATACAAAAGTATCGTTGTAATCGACCGCACCACACGGATGAACAGAAGCGCAAGGCATTTGAAAGCTGTTCCTATGTTGGCTAACTCTGCATTTTTAATCTGACCAGACCTTTTGAAAATTGCTTGTTATCCGTGTATATGCGCAGAGCATGCTGGGAAGAATCATTTGTAATCACTTGTCTTGTATAAGTAGAAGCACAAGGCATTTGAAAGTGGCTCCTAGGTTGGTATAGAGGCAATCACTTTCCCGTAAGTCAGGCTTACCCGTACTTGTCCATGGTCAGCAGAAGCACGTCGTCCCTCCTAAACATGACTCTGCCAGCCAGGAAAGGTTCCCCGTCTATCACGTGGGTTTTGCTGGCGTGATACTGATCGATCCTCCAAAGTTCAGACACGTCCAGCCGAAATCGAGTAGAGGCTTCAGTTGCACTGATCAGCCTGAATTCTGGCATCCGCTTGGTGCACTCGTTACAAACACGCAAGGCTGGGTCGAACGGCCATTGCAAAGCCAGTCTTTCACCACACCCCTGACACCTCTTTCGCTTTCCAAGTTGCTTTGCAGGTGGTCTGGTAAACGCCCTGCCACGAACAAAGTCTCCCCTGCAGAAAGCATCGTGTCTTTGCCGCCAGAGCTCACTTGCTGCCTCTCTGAACACTCTTGAAAGACCCCCGATGTACAGCAAGACAGCAGGGTGGAAAAAGGTGAGGGGCTCGAGGACGTCAATAAAAGAAACAAAGTCTTTCATGTTTGAAAAGGCGTGTTGTCTGGAAATGAAATAAAGGGGTGAGGAGAAGGCTTTATACGATTGGCAATTGGTGCCATAACGATTGGTGCCATAACGATGGCAATTGGTGCAACCAGTGCCTCTACTGAGTGCCACATGTCAAGTGGTGCCACAGGTGTGCTGCTGGTCAAGAGTCAAGTAGTGCCACCGGTCAAGTGGTGCCACAGGGCAAGTGGTGCCATATCTGGTGCCGCAGGTTACAGGTGGTGCCGTGAGTAACAGGGTGCCACGTTGCGTGTACAGTGCCAGCAGTGCCAGCAGTGCCAACAGTGCCAGCAGTGCGCCAACAGTGCCAGCAGTGCCAGAAGTGCCGACAGTGCCAGCAGTGCGCCAACAGTGCCAGCAGTGCCAGAAGTGCCGACGGTGCTGACGTGGCAGGGTGTATAAAGCCTCAGAAATGGAGAGATTGCATCAGAAAAAGTGACAATGGAGGTCACCAAGCGCAACGGAAGTCGGGAGAAGGTCCGGTTCGACAAGATCACGCAGCGCCTTGAGGCCCTCTGCAAGAAAGTGCACGAGCCTTACTCCAAGCGCCCCGCCTATGGCCACTTCAAGCAGTCCAAAATGCTCAGGGATCGGAGCGCTCAGGTCACTGGGGCCCCGCTGCTCAACGCTGACCCCGTGAAGATCGTGCAGAGGGTCAGCGTCTCCCTCTACGAAGGGGTCACGACAGAGGAGATCGACGTCCTGACGTCAGAAGTTTCGGAAAGCCTCAAAACGCTTCACCCTGAGTACGGCATCCTGGCTGCGCGCATCGTGATCTCGAACCTGCACAAGTCGACCCCCGCCACCCTGCGAGAGTCCGTCAGGCTCCTCGGCCCCGAGAGGTGGGACAAAGTGCTCTACGAGCGCATCATGAGCGACGACGGCCTCTGCGAGGTGCTGGAAAACGCCACGGACCACGCCAGAAGCTACTCCTTCGACTACTTTGCGGCCAAGACCCTGATCAGGGGGTATCTCCTCACCAAGGACGGGGAGCCGGCAGAAAGGCCGCAGCACATGTGGATGAGGGTCGCCCTGTCTCTGCACGGCCCTGATGCCGACGGCTCGTCGCCGAATTCAATTGCTCGCACCCTGGAGTCCTACAACCTCCTGTCCTGCGGCTACTTCACGCACGCTTCGCCGACGCTCTTCAACGCGGGCACGAACCACCAGCAGAACAACTCCTGCTTCTTGCTGGGCATGGGGACTCGATCGAGGGGATTTTCGACACGCTCAAGAACTGCGCACTCATCAGCAAGTGGGGTGGAGGCCTGGGCGTCCACGTGCATTCCATCCGTTCAGACGGTGCAACCATCAGGGGGACCAACGGGAAGGCAACAGGGCTCGTGCCGATGCTGAGGAACTTTGATGCGTTGGCTCGCTACGTCAATCAGGTAAGTATTTTTGGTCCATCATTATTTGTTCCCATATCTGCAAACGATGACTGTCGATCTGACGCTCCGGCTGCACCGTTTCAAGCTGATACCGATCCTGTATCACCTGTCGCTGCAAGCAAAGAGCAAGGACGGGCGCGAAACCATGGTGATGGAGCACTTTCCTGAGATGGACCCCACCAATACGGACCCACACATCGTTTCTTTGATCGGGCTGAAGTCGCTGAGCGACCCGAATCCCTCCTTTGAAGTCAGCTTCAAGGCGCATCTCGATCACACCGTAGAGAGTCTGGCCCGCTATTCCAGGAGCAGGCCTCGGAGGTACTGGTTCCTCTTCAATGACTGCAGGACACACAGCTTCGCGGTCATCAAACACGCCCTCAGACCTCCGCCGGAGGTGTCACGAGAGGTCATCAAGCCCCCTGGAATGCAGCGGTCCCATTGCTTTGATTTCTGGCGGTTTGATAAGACTTCGTGATTTATAATGCAGGGAGGGAAGAGGAAGGGTTCGATCGCGATCTACCTCGAGCCCTGGCACGCCGACGTCTTCGAGTTCCTGGAGCTACGCAAGAACTCTGGCAACGAGGAGGTGAGGTGCAGGGACCTGTTCACGGCTCTCTGGGTCCCGGACCTGTTCATCAAGCGCGTCGAGTCTGACGGCACGTGGTCTCTCTTTGACCCGGACAAGGCGAGGGGTCTCCCGGACTGCTACGGGGAGGAGTTTGAGGAGCTGTACGAGAGGTACGAGGCGACACCCGGACTCGCGAGCAAGGTGGTTCGGGCGAAAGCGCTCTGGAGCGCCATGCTCACCGCGCAAGTGGAGGGAGGGACGCCTTACGTGCTGTACAAGGACGCCGTCAACCGCAAGAGCAACCAAAAGCATCTTGGTACCATAAAGAGCTCAAACCTCTGCGCAGGTGAGGGGCGTGGGGAAATCGGAAGACGCGTCATGATATGTGCTCGGACTACGTAAGCTACTGATATGTGATGAGTGACGATTCAGTGTGTCTGCCATGCAAGTCAGCTTTGCAGATTGTTGGTCGGGCGTCCGAAGGAGTCGTTCCTGTTTCATCTTTGTGGCATAGCAGCAGCATGTTCCTATTATGAGGGTCAGCAACAAGAGGCTCGTGGCCAGAGCCAGTTCGAGTTCCACTTCCATCTCTGTCTCCTCTGCTTACAGAGATCACGGAGTTTACCTCCAAGGACGAGACGGCGGTCTGCACCCTGGCGTCCCTGTCGCTTCCCCAGTTTGTCGCTCTCGACGATGAGAACAAGCCGACCTTTGACATGCGCAAACTTCGGGAGGTGACAAAGGTGGTAATCAGGAACTTGGACCTGAGCATCGACCGGAGCTTCTACCCGACTCCCGAGGCCAAGCGCTCGAATATGCGCCACCGTCCCCTGGGCCTCGGCGTGCAGGGGCTGGCGGACGTCTTCATGATGCTCCGGCTGCCCTTCAGCAGCCCGGGGGCCAGGGCGCTCAACAGCGCCATCTTCCAGAGCATCTACTACGCGGCGGTCGAGGCGTCCGTCGAGCTCGCTGAGGAGAAGGGCGCGTATGAGACCTTCCAGGGATCTCCCTCGTCCAAGGGGCTGCTGCAGTTTGACCTGTGGGAGAAGAAGCCAGCCGAGATGGGCTACGATTGGGCCGGCCTTAAGGAGCGCGTGAAGAAGTCGGGCATGCGCAATAGTTTGCTTACGTGTGTGATGCCCACCGCGTCTACCGGTCACCTCCTTGGGAACGTCGAGGCGGCAGAGGCGTTGAGCAGCAACCTGTACGTGCGACGTACTCTCGCAGGGGAGTTTGTGGTGGCAAACAACCACCTCATGGCGGACCTCGTCAGGCTGGGCCTGTGGAATGATCATATGAAGGACCAGATCATGGCGAATCGGGGCTCCATTCAGGCCATCCCCGAGATCCCGGACGATCTGAAGGAGCTGTATAAGACGGTATGGCAGATAAAGCAGCGGGTCGTAATTGACCTCGCGGCAGACCGCGGAATCTTCATCGATCAGTCCCAGTCCATGAACCTCTTTTGGCCGAAACCCACCCCTGGGGCCTTGTCCTCTGCGCTCGTCTACGGGCACAAGAAGGGACTAAAGACCAGTTTGTACTATCTTCGTACAAATCCTTCGACGGTCCCGACTGCGGTGACGGCGCCTCTGAAGAAGGGAAAGAAGGATAAGCAGAAGGAGAAAGGCGAGGATGACGGGCAGGACAAAGACGAGATGGCAGTGATTTGCAACGACGAGGTCTGCGTTGGCTGTTCGGGCTGATGAGAGACAATCTAAAAAGTATGTGTTGCCATCTTTGTGGCCATCACACTAAATTTTGTGTAGCATGGGTTTGTATGAATAACATAGATGAAGTATGCTTCCGCTCGCACCATGGAGCAGCAAGTGATGAATGACCGCTTATGGACATGAACAGTGGGCTACTTGAAGGTCCGAGAGATGTGAGCTTATTATCGGAGTCCAAAAGCCTTGCAAGTTTCACGTAGAGCAACGATGTTGTCCCGCATGGTACTTTGGCAAGATTTTGCCACCTGAATCCTTGCATGAATTTTCCACGCTTTATTGAATAAATCGCGGTAACCGGCCTCACGATTGCCTCAGCAGCCTCTGCAAGCGACCCATACAAACACAGGACACGTCCCTCCACATTGAGCTTCTCGACTGGGCGGACATTCCCCCTGTTCAGATTCTGCTATGTCGGTGTGGACCACCTTAAATTCATAAGCCGGTTGTCCATGCTATCTCTGTTGATGTGGTCAACAGTGTCGATCTGTGTCCGGCGCTCGGATGTGGCTCAAAGAATGTGTGTCCCATCACAACGCGCACAGAGAGAGATTTCTTCTCGTCCTCAACTCTACCATGAAAATAGCACCTCTTGTGTACAATCGCCCCTGCACTTCGCCTCGACACATCTGATTCCACCCGGCCCAACGTGCTGACACGAACTCCAGTAAACAGCTTGCCATTGTACGATGCACCTGTCCTGGATGAAGTTCCCAAAGTGGTCGTTGTCATTCGAATAGCTCTCGAGCGCCTTGCCCATGGCCGCAGGCAACTCTTCGACCGTCGGTAGAGTGCCCCGCTCGTACCACATCATGCTGCCACGCACCAACCAAGCCAGCATCTGCTTCCTCCATTCGGGGCTTTTGATCTTATCCATGAGATCGGTGTCTCGTAATCTCTGGTTGGTTCCAGGCCTCGGATTCTCAACGAATTCGTGCTCAAACGGGAAAATCCTCAGCTTATTGAGGGTGCCCGTATCTCCTGCGTTGAACTTTGGCGATGAGTTGGTGCATATGATCGGCAAACACCTCATGGTGACCTCGACGGGGTCCTTGTGCAACCCCCTTACCGTCATGCTCCCATCGCCGGACGCGATCGCCTTCACCGATGCTCCATTGTAAATATCCGAGTCCTCAGTCTCTTCGAGGACTGCAATATGCGCTCCATCGAGCATAAGAAGGTGCGGCGTGGCGGCCCCTTCTGAGTGCTGACCTGCGCCAATGACGCAGTCGCGGGCCATCGAAACGCAGTACGGTCCGGTACACTCTCGGACCATGGTGACGAGTTTTGTCTTTGCGCTGTTCGTTGGGCCATGCATGACGATGAATTGCTTTTCCTTGCTGTGGCCTGTGATGCCATACCCAAGCGTCATTTGCATAACGGGGACTATGTCCTCGGACAGCACCTCAGCCATGAATTGGTCGATGAGCGGTGATGGATAACTTGCACCCTCATAAAGGGTACAAATCTCCTTCGAGAGCATGTTGCTCGGATGGTGAGCATACAGCTCCCCCGTTCGGAGGTCGATCGAGCCGCATGTGGTGTTCAGATAGTCGCGGATTAGCATTCAGCGAGCTTGCAAAATCCCGCACTCGTAGATTCACTTTCAAAGGAATGAGACACCTTTGAGCGATGGGAACAGACTCGACCGCTGCCCCACGCCACACCGGTTCGGGTATCTTCTTCATCTCCATGTCGAAGTCTGCCATGATAGCCTTCTCCGCCTTTTGAATGCCCTTCAAGACGCCCTTCTCGCTCTTCGTCCGCACTCTCCGAGGCCCGGGACTGCAGTTCGTTCAGAGCATTGTCTCTGCGAGTCGTCAACGGCTGAACCTTTTCGGCAACAGCGCATTCCAGCCGATCGCACCAAAACGATTTGACTCGTCCCATGTGGTACATAAACGAGGTCTTCAGCAGAGCTGCTTCCGTATCGGACGGCACCCAACTCGTCGCATCCCACGTCCAGAATCTCCCTGAGTCGTACACCACCCGCCTGTCATGCTCGAAAAGTTTGCTGAATATCAAAGCACTACCAAAATCGCTCTTACTCACGTTTGACAGCATGAACGGGTCGGAGAACCTAGCGGCCAGCTTAGTGAGGCTCGACGGCTGATGGTCCTTGGGTCCAAAAGCACCACCCCCAGCTTGCTCAAGAGCACCGGCTATCGTGAGACGTCCCAGCAGCTTCGGCTTGCTCCCATAGCAACCGGACCCGAAGCAATTGTAATACAACTCCTGGAAATCACCGGTGCACCCTTGAATCACCGTGAAATTATTGGACCCTCTGTGCGTTTTTCCCAGGTAGCATTGGCGCGACCCCTTGACCCTGAACTGAAAGGATCTGTTGCCGTCCGGTAGGACTGTTAAGCCAGTATAATATGAATGGCAATCCTTGCCTCTCTCCCTCACCAATTGCTTCACTTCCTCGTGTGCCGAGCCCGGAGCTGCCTTGGCTGCAGGCCCGCCAGCCTCTGCGTCGTCGACGGCCTCTGGCGTGATTTGTTCAGGATCGACTTCCTTATCATGAGACACTCGGCCTTTTGCATGCCTCGAGACCCCTTCCGAGGCGCGCCCTCGGTTGATCAAGCTCACAAGCCACGGGGGCATACTGTTGATCTTACCATCGCCTCCGGTCACCCACGTGTACTCGCGACATGTATCCGTGCCTTCCCCGTACCTGCTCGGGGGTGCAAAAATCACCCCTCCGGTGCCGCGGGCATTGACACCAAACTTTTGCATATCGAATGTGAGTCCAGCAAAGTTGGCAGTGTCATGTAAGCCGGTCGTTTCATCGAGCCGAAAGTAGTAGTGAAGCCCTCCAGACCCCGTGCGAACGGAGAGACTCTCAGGCTCCCCATGCTCCTCCACTTGCCCGTGCCAGAATTCCATCCCCGACTTCTTATCGCCGCTCTCTCCCACGTCGATATCTATGACAAACAGACCGCTTGTACCGGTCAGTATGGCCACTCCGTTGGGGTTTTCAAATGCATCGAGCACTGCGCCGATATACTTCTCCCAATCGCCCACGGTGACGATGTGCGCGTAGGTGGGAGGGAATCGGCTCCGCTTCTTGCCACGAGAATCGATCTTGATGTGCACAGGGATTCCATACAGTCCGTGGTCGGCAAGGCGCAGAATCTCATCTCTGATGCTCAAAACGTTGGACGGCGCCGTCCTGATATCGCGGGCGCCGTGGGTCGCAGCATCCTCCTCCCCCGGGGGCAGAGCCTCTGGGGCCTCGATTGCAGTCACGTCGATGGTGTGCTCGAGAGAGCAAGGGGTGTTGGCGGCTTGCATGCTGAGGTTCTCTCTCCAATGGAGGAAGGAAATTTTCACGAGGAAAAAACGCGGCGCGGGCGATGTCTGAAAATATTTTCTAGCTGCAGATTAGTGATGTCGTCTTCGACCGCAGACCAACCTTTAAAAGACACTTACGACAACGAGATCTTCACTTGCGAGTGCAGGCACTGCCTTACAGCCAGAAGGAACTACTTCCGCGATCCTGAAGCCCACAAACGATCCGGCAGACGCTATTACGCACGAAAGAAGGACTCAATACTTCTAGCACAAGCATATGAGAGGTATCAGACCGGAGGCAGGACGCAGAAACGCACTCTCGAGAGATTGCTGGAGGCGGGGTTTGCCATCACGACTCCTCAAACCTTTGACAAGAAGGAGGGAGGAGAAAGCATGATGAGGTTCGTGAGCGACGGGTCGATCGAGGTTGCTTAGCTTCGCTTTCTTTCGTAGCTTCGCATCTGAGTCGACACGCTGTGTAGCATTCGGCCAGCAACGGACTGTCTATCTGAAAGAGAGGCGTCTTTGTCGTAGCGGTCGGTTACGAATACGTGCCTCAAGTGATTGGTTGTGAGATGACGGCCCTTGGAAAATGGAATCTCTCGAATGAATTGCGTCCAATAATTATCGCCCATGGGCTGGCCAAGGTCGCTCAGCAGTGTCACAAAGTAGGCCCTGGGAACTAGCTCGATCGAGCGCTGGATGTAGTGTGAGAGCCTTTTTGGCAACTCGAACTCCTGCTGACCAAACTTTTTGGCAGTTTTCATCGG